TTATTAAACTTGTTCTCGGTTCACACCTAATTGTTCGTAAGATATTACGTTTATGGCGTGACTCCAATTTGAGAACGACCTCTACGTTTCCGGTTCTGAAAAGATCCGGTTTCATTGCGTCTTTCTAAAATGTGTTGTACCAAAAAATGAGATATTTTCATGGTTTCAGTAATTTTTCGAAACAAGGAATCTTTTTTCCGCAATCGTACAATTAATTCACGAACTGCAATCCGTACGTCCGCTTGTGAAACGTATTTTTATATTCTAAAACTTTGTTTACTAACATTCTGCAGAATTCTTAGCGTACAGTGAAAAAACAGATCAAAAACAAAAGCCATAACTGATTAAGATGGTCACAAGAGCCTCTAAATCAAATTCAATTTGCGATGAGCTATCCGATAGCTAATAAACAAAAACCAATTTGTGTCAAGTTTTAACTCTGTATCTCGACTGGGGGAGGGGATTAAAGGGCAAAAATAAAATATAACGTTTTTGACCAATTCCTCTTATTTTGTTTTATGCAAAATTTCGAACAAAATTGGAGGAATTTTAGTTGCCAAGATTTAATAAAATATTTTCAGACTTTTTAATAGAAAATCCAAGTTTTACAAAATAAAAAACCTTACAAATTAAAAAAAATGTTGTAACTTCAATAGAAGTTATTATCTAAAAAAATTATTTCTAACATACCAACACGTTTAAGACATGTTATACAACATATTAATTTTATAAGTTGAACTTTCATATGGTCTGAATACTTTTGTGACATAGAAATGTGTAGCTTTTTGTATTTGCTTTATCATTTAATAAACAGAATGATTCTAAATAAAAAGCTTTTGTGTTTTTGTTGTCTATAAACTATATTGTAACGTAAAATGACCTTTTTATTTTGTAAATACAGAGTATTAAAATTAACTTCCATTGATGTCTGAATAGTTTCGTAAATGGCTGTAAATCAGTGCTAATTGATCTGTTATGCCATATAATTTCTTGGCAACGGGAGACGTTTTATTTTTAATTAGGTTTTTACGGGAAAGTGTCACGAGCCTTAAATAAACAGGTAATTCATCCCTTTCAAAAGAAGTAATGACAAAAATTACAAAAATTATATACTAGTTGCTCCCATTCTAATCTGGGAATTGATGCTATCATGCGATTTGATTACGCAATTTAAATAAAAGAACTACAACAGCTTATGTGTTTGTTTTATAAGATTTTTCCACGAAAAACTTGCACATGGGTTAAGCAGTTTTTCCAAGAATGTAAAGTCACTTACATTATTTTTGATATTAGAATTGCAGAATTAATAGAAAGGTATTCAAAATAATTTCGTAATTCCTAAATCTTGATTATACTATATTTGAATATATTTTTAAATTCAAAACATCGAAATAATATTTATACATATTTAAGGTTAAAATATTGTTACTATATTTTTAAATCATTTGTAAATAAGTATTTCTCACTGTTATGTAGTTAAGAATTGAAAAAAAATATATAATTGATAAAAAAAAATAGAATGAACCTGAAGGAGACTTGATACGTTCACAAAGTTTGCAGCAGATTATCGGTCGAACAATTTACTCACTCTGCTATCGGTACCATAAATAATAAAGCAGATTCTTTTAAATATAAACTGCTTAAATATAAATACTTTCTTTGATTACTATGGTGTTCTGCTGAATATCAAGATATTAAATATTGCATATTAGATAAAGAATGTATGTAAAAGCGACTTAAATATCGGTTTTAAATTTGTTTAACTACGGGGTACCAAATTAAAAAATCTAAAAATACGTTGGAAATAATAGTAACAATAATATATACCTTCTGTAAAAGTATAATCATAATTCCACGAATGCTTCAACATAAAACCAGCATTTTTCAGCCTTTTTTAAGGTTTCTCATTTTGTACAACTTGGATTTTCAATTAAAAAGTCTGAAAAAATTGTATTAAATCTGCCTTGACAACTAAAATGCCTCTAATTTTTTTTACGAAATTTTGCATAGAACAGGATAAGAGAAATTGGTCAAAAACGTTATTTTTGATTTTTAATTTCGAGATATAAAGTTGAAACTTGGCGAAAATTGATTTCTATTTCTCATAAATATATAATTATCATAGTTTATATTTATGTATAATTTAAAATATAAATACAGGAAGTAAGTATCGAAGTATTTAAAATTAAGGAAGGATTTGTAGAGAATATTACAAGAAGGTTGGATTTAAATATTAAAGAAATCATTTTCAAACGAGGCAAAAACATTGGTGAAATAAAAATGTACGAGTTTTTGGTAACTTTTTGGTAAAATTCTTAATACACAATATGATTTACATTTCCTTCATTTAAAGAAAAAAACTAAAATGTTGATTTATGGACGGGAATGTGTATCTTTGAATATTTTAATACAGTAATTTGTTTACTGTTTTCTAATAAACTGTGAAGAGTAGAATATACAATATTAAAATAAATTATGAGGATAGATAAGTCGAGCTTAGGATAGTAATTTTTATAGTGCTAGTTAGCCACTTGAAGTGACGTTTTTTCATGATTTGTAAAATCAGTTTAAACGATGAGATGGTAACGCGTAAAAATATCAAGGTTGGAAATTAATTAGAAGACAGTATAGCTGTGACGTAAAATTCAAAACGTATGTATATGTATGTTCGCACTATAGCAGACCAGCTGAGATATGACGTAAATGTACGTTCGTATAACGTGAAAAGATGACGCTAAAATAAATCGGTTCTACATTTATTTATTAAACCGTTTAAATAAATTCCACATTAACGATATAAATCTCTGACATCCGTTCGTATGAAAAGTATTATAAACGATTCAAGAGTTGTTAAAAAATACTCGATAAAGTCAATCTCGATTAAAGTATTATTTAAAATGAAAATAATAATAATGCAAACGTTTAGTAATGATATTATTAATATTACGCACGCGAAAGAATTAACAACTTATGAAATTGTTTTTAATGTCGCTACAGTTATATAATTGACTGACATGATGAAACTTGATTATCGACATTCGTTAATGTAAAATGTCATGTTGTGATTTTTTATTTTTCAAGAACCAGACTATATACACGTCACGATTTTCATGTTTTATTTAAAATTCAAAGTACAGAGATAATAGTCGAATTGCAACCATGATTCATTTTAGTTTATTCGACGTGCCGATAATAATTTTATCAGGTAATTTATAATTATCTTTGAATGTCCCACTTTCGAAATGATATAAATTTTGTAATTACATTTTATCAAAGGCGACGCATGCAAAATCATTCTAAATATGTGTTTTAAATATCTGTTTCAACTATTCGTCTATAAATAAAACGGTAATTTCTTTGATTTCTGGATAAAATTTGAATAACAGACTACGGTAGCATACACGTATCATGTACGATGTGATGATTATTAGATTTTTTAATTTCGTTAGTTACAAAAACAGTTACAACAATAACAAAGAAAAAAACTCAATCGTTCATTAACAAGTTGTCACGTATAATTTTTAAACACTACTAAAGAGCTTAATAAGATAGTAATAAAAAATGTGATCCCCACAAAAACTATGAATAGTTTATTTTCCAATTCTTCATTCATTCGTAAACAGTTACACTGTATTTCAAATATAATTAATTTTCATTTAAAACGTATGCTCTCTTAACTGTTAAACGAATAAGCTTTCTGCTTATTGAAAGAATTTTCTAATTAAATTATTTTAATAAATACTGATTACCAACGAATTAAGAAAATCGATGATCAAATTAAACGAATTCAATGTTTTACTTCCATTTGCGAAAGAAAAAAAAGAGTCACCATATGTCTTAATCTAGATTATTCGACGAATCTAGTCTAAAAAAACTATACTTCCTTCATGGGCTTAGATAACGCACACTGTTTTTGTGATCCACTTAAGCAGAGATTTCTAAGCCATGGTCCACATTTTATCGAAGATCACGCCATCGAAAATCATCGTTCAAGGTCACATCGGCATTTTCCAGACTTCCAACACGCAGTATTACGTCAAGGAAAGAAACTTACGACAGAATTCATTTCTATTCTTTTTTTATTTCCATTTCATTCGACTCTTTATTCGCATAGAAGAATGAGCTTTTATTCATTTCCGTAAAAGCGGGAGGAGTTTCTCTTCAAATTGCATAATTTTTTGCGGAAATCAGTGTATTTAGAGACACACGAGTTACACGTGCACGCAAGAATGGTTCTTTGCATTTTACAAACAGTGTTGCTCATGAATATTCAACAATGTTTGATCAAGTCGTAAGATGACTGCAGCTCTGTGCTCAAGCAAATGAAAAATAGCAAAAGGCTTCGATGTAAAAAGCGTGTATTCTTAGTTCCGTCCAACGACTTTAAAGCCCAGTAACGTTGGTTATACGTATAATTAAAAAACAGTCGCGTAACACCGATTAAAGGGACGAATATTTTCCGAGAAATAATATTCGTGATCCAAATGTGCTTTATTGTTTTGATAATGACTTTATAATAGATCCGTATCGTATAGTATCAAGCGTCTACAATCGTAGACTCAACATCGCAGCGAGTCTTTGTTAAACAATTAAAAATCATCACCACGAAGAACGCCTATTTCCACGCATAAAGAATACTCATTCCATTCGATAATAATGAATTGATGCAATCGTTGACAATAATACCTTCCATCGAATCTGTTCAACGCCTATGTCGTACAAAAGCCTCATGAAACCGGTTCGTTAATGCACAGCATCCTATTAAACACATTAACCAAGTTTTTCAACGGATTATCTTTGTTGTGTCCACGTTTTCTGGCCAGCCTTTCGCAAGAGATTAGAAGAGTCTTCGGCGAGCAAGAACACCTGTATACTTTCCGATTCTTTAGATGTGTTTTGTCCCCACCAAAAAAAATTAAGGGTCTCTGCTTACGTTCTAGTCAATATGTAGCTGTTTGATTTAGAAAGAAAAAAAAAAAAAAAAAATGATAAAAAGTCACCTGAGCCGCTTGCGGCGTTCGACCAATCCTGGAAGGACATTCTGCTGCGCCTGGAGAACGCTGTGTTCGGACCCTTCGTCTGGAAAGCTATCCTCTGTCTCCAATTCCTCTATCTCCAAATCCCCGTTTGGATCGGCGTCGGGATCCCCGACCACGAAGCTTACTGGATTTTCGGACATCGTAACGACGGAATCGACAAAATCGTTCTCGTCCTCTCTCGATCCTCGAACGCCAGGCTCTCTGTCTACGCGGTTGGTGTTACCTTCAAAACAGTCTATGTGTACGTGTCAAGATCAACTGGTCCGACCGTGTCCCGTGCCGCACACTTATTATCCAGCATTTGCATGTTATTTACAAGTGTTCCGCCGCGTTCTCCCCATAGCGAACTTTAAACGCGTTCCGTGCTGTGTCCTCTCCTCGATGTTAAGTGTCAAGGGCCACTCACGAACAAGTTTAGCGTCTCGTACGGACACGGACGTTAGAATTTACTTTTATGCCACGCGTCGAGATGTTTGGACAATTCATTCTTGTCCCTTACAGTTTGTACGTTCGAAGTAGGAATCGAGTTCGATATCGTTGTGCTTTTGGCGGACTACGAGGGTCGAAATTTAACGAATTTCAATGAAGATCGATTTCTCGATGCTGCGTCGTCAGTAGCTCTGGGCGATCTCGATAAGATTCGCGAAAAACTTTTGGAGAGTGGCCCTCAATGTTTGCGTCGTGGAACCTCAATTAGAGGCAAAACTTCCGAATGATCCAGCCATGGTTCATGCCAAACAAGCTGCATGCAATTTCCAAGCGTTTCTCCGGCCAACGAATAACCCGATTACGATTTATTAATCCCACGTGAAACGAACGTTCGCCTGGCGAACGATACCGGTCGACGAATGTCGGGACACAATGAATCCAAATCGGGATGGAAGACATGCGGATGATGATCGTGCACGTGAATCGTGGATACCACCAAATGAATGATTCGATTCGGCGCTAGGAATCATGATTCTATTGTTATTAGTTAGGTTAAATGTAAATTTATTTGCATTAACTTAAACAGTTATTCATCGATCGATATGTCTATTTTTCTCTGCCATCCACTACACAGTGATATACGAACGCTATTTGTATATCTATCGGTTAGTTTATAAATCATTTAAATTGAGCAATACTATTTTTTATACTATACAGGGTGTTCGGTCACCTCTGGGAAAAATTTTAATTAGCAATTCTAGAGACCAAAATAAGACGAAAATCAAGAATATCAATTTGTTGATTGAGGCTTCGTTGAAAAGTTATTAACAAAATTATTAATAAAATTTGTCCACCTACACGAATTTTTTTCTCACAAATGCATAGGATTTCGGGGGTATTTCTGTTGACCAAAAATGCTTGTAATTGACCCCTGCAGCTAAAAATAATTTTTCCAAGACGATTCGAAATTCTTTTCTTTCACCCAAAACTTTCAACACATACTCGAATTTTTTTCTCAAAACTGCGTAAGATTTTAGGGATATGTCTATTCACCAAAAATGATTGTAATTGACCCACGCAGCTGAAAATAATTTTTTCAGAATGATTTGAAATTTTTTAATTTCTCCGAAAAAATTTCTGTTCGGTATGGAACATTGAACGTTAATAAGTTTTTAAGGAAGCCTCAATTAAAAAATTGGTGTCCTTAATTTTCGTTCTATTTTAGCCTCTAGAATCTGCCATTCAAATTTTTCCCAGGGGTGGCCGAGCATTCTGTATAATTTCCAAATTGTATAGTAAGTTTTGCTTATAAAATATTTTAATGTTACACGAACATGACTTACTTGTACAAAAAATTCAACTTTGCAAAAATGCTTTATTTTTAGAAATAAAAATCGACACGAAAGTTCGATACTAGCTTTCGTTATACAATAGTAATGTGTATGAATTTTTTAATGTTGTGCGTGCGTTGCTTACGTAAAAAACCTATACGTTGCTTAAACTATTAATAAGAAAGCTGTTGTGACTAACTGTATTTTAATTTTTTCTTTGTCAAGGTGACGCACATACGTAAAATCGTGTTTCCTTGGTTTTAGTTTCAACGACTCAACGATTAACATGACAATACGAACATTACGAAACGTGCAAACTCTGTTAAATCAGTTGCTTATTACTTTTGGTGTATTCAAACATCATTTATGAACTCTAAATAAAATAAAATACATTACGAAATTTGTAATACAAACAGGACTCCTTAATAGCTTTACTATTTCAAAGAATAGGAAGTACTACTTACAAAAGTTGTATAACTTCTAGATTTGTAATCGTAGAGATTTGAAGGTCAACATCGGTTTTATAAATTGAAAATTTTCATAATAAAGTTGGATAGAGTAGTGAATGTTATCAATTAAAATACAATATTTTTCGCTTCTTGCATCACTGTTTATGTTTCTCTAGCTCGAACAATTATCGACTTTAATCTCGCACGAAATCTGAGGGTCCCGATTTGATTGGAAAAAGAAGACAATGTAAAGTTACATCCATAAAGCAACTAATAGTTTCCAAAATATTCAACTTCTAAAATAGCGTTTATCCGAGATTATAATGGTTTCAGACTGGTTTCAAAAGACCTTGATCATCCTACGTCAAACTTATAGGCACGCTTCGAGTTCCGATTGGTAGACTACAATAATGGGTTTACGATAGTATGCATAAGACGTTTTTAAAGTCAGTCTACACGTAATATAGCAGTTTAAAGATCACCAGTCTGATATTTTAACAACTGAATATATCAGAAACTCTTAGTCTTATTTAGTTTTTATCACTTTGTTACAAAAAGAAAGAGATTGATTTTCAAATCACTTCTGTACCTTCGAACACAAAGGAACTATTGCCACCATATTGTGTCCCTTTCGAAACCATACAACCTTTGTAAGAAATACCTTACGTACGTTCAGTCAAAAAAGTCTCTGCACATCTTATGCTCGCTATCCTAGCGAATTATAATATTAATTTCGAGAAAAAAGAATGCACAAATGAATTGTAAATATCTACGTGGAATCGTAAAGTACAGTAAAGTTTGTTGCAAAATATATGGAATTTAATAACTATTATTATAATTTGCGGAACAGTGCAATAAAATTGGGTTCTTAAAGAAACATTTATCTTCCAGCAAAATAATGTACTGTACAATATGAGCAATAAAGCGAATAAAAATAAACTATATTAATAGCGTGGAATAATGTTGCATTTTATGTAAATGCATAATTGAGTTGATAGTACGAAAAAACCGAATGGCGGCGGTGTTCAAGGCTAACGATGGCCCAACTGCTTATCAACGCGCAGAGAAAAGAAAAAACTTTATAATTTCAAGCTTCTCCATGATTATGGACGAAGACATTTTTTTTTTCGTGATTTTTGTGAAACTCTAATAATTGCAAGATTGATTGTTTTTCGTTGAATAATAATTGCAAGATATTCGTTTATGTAAAAATAATGAATAAAACAATGATTTACTTACGAACGATTGAATAAAATTTACAACCCGTCGGAGCAGCGAGTATACGGTGTACGGAAACCTTTTTGAGCGTGTGTACGTTCAGCCAGTTTAGCAACATTTTAGTGGGAATGGTTCGTGAATGAAGATTAATCACTCCAGGTTACCCAGGCGTACCCGCGTTTCTTCGTTTTCAGGACTTTGAACAAAAGGAGAGCACATAGGGGACATGGAGCACAATAAACCCGAGAACGGGACCAAATCCGTTATCAACACTGAGACGATTACAATGGATTAATCGAAATCGAATTCGACGCGCGCGGAGCGGCAAAGAGTCCCAGAGGAAGCGACATTACGATAAATCCCCAGACTCTGTGAGTCTCGTTACTCACCCTCGATCACCCTAGAATCGCACGCGAAACGAAACACTCGGAGAATGTCGAGTAGCCGGCCTTCCTGAAGTCGTTCCGGCCAAATGTTTCCAAGGCGTGCGTATCGACGCGTTAGCGCGGCGAACGAGAACACGACGACGAAAGGTAGCAGACAGTAGAACAGCTGAGCGATCGTCTCGGGAGACACGTTGACGATCGTGATTGAGACCTTGGAACAATTAGAAGGATCAAGGGCCCCTTTCCATATCCTCGGCCGCGACTCTCTCTTACGTCCACACTCGTGTACACTTCACCCTTGATATCACGGTTACTCCCGAACTCTCGGTTCAGCGACACGCGTACCGCACGCGTTGATAACGAAAACTATACAAAATCGCGTTCAATTCCTGAATTGAACTTCGAACGAATGGAATATTACACGAACTTTCGGGCCTTGACACGAAATGAATCTAACGCCGAACGGTTGCCGCGATAAAGCGTCTAACGATTCGTAACATGAACTTCTTTGGTCGTTACTTTCACAGGCGGCGTCAAGATCTGTCGGGGTCGGTACGGAATATCGAGGTTCGAGTAATAGTCGGAACGTCACCCATCCGGCTCGACGACACCGTTTCCGTGTCACAAACGATTACGAAATTAGTAATTGTACCGAAGGGTGGGCCCGATGGAGGGTCTGTTCCCTTTCTGGCGGGACTCCTCCTCTGTCTCCAGGTTCGAATACTTCCACGGCAAACGTTTTCTATCCTCTCGAGGCGTCGATCCCGCCACTGGGCTTGGTCTTGTTTACGCTACGAATCTCTTCGGAGCACTCGCTGCTCGTCTGTGCGCGATCGTTTGCGTAACCGGCAGTCTGTTTTCGAATCTAGCCGCGCGTTTAGACGCTGGAACGACGGGTGCTCGCCATTGTCGACGGTTTTAGAGAACGTTTCACGTCGGGTAGCACGAAATGAGATATGACGACGCACTGGCCGTGTTCGCTTCACGCGATATCGTACGTAAAAGAGAGGAAATCGACTTCGAGCACTACACGCGAACGATACAGAAAAAAAAAACCGGACGCCGGGGTTCAGGGGTCGTCGCACAACGACGACACCATACGCGGACGGATTCCACTGTACTTTTTCGCGCCGTGTTGACGGTGGATCCACCGATACCGTCGATCGACGAAAGCTCACGCGCGTCTACACGTCGATACGCGCCAATTATCGCCGGGTTCCTCTTCCACACCGTAATATTATTGCGTTTATCGTTTTCCCCTTACCTTCGTCGACGCTACGCGCTTTTAATTCCTATCCAACTAGCGATTCGTTGCTCCAGTTTCGTCGACACGACCGAATTAGGACCGACTTAAGACCGAATTAAAATCGTTGTTTTCTACGATTACAGTTTACTAGTAGCTTTTTCCTTCTGCTTTACATTTCTTCCTCTGTTTTCAAGGTTGTTTTAATTAATCTTGCAGTAATTATAAAATATTAAAGATAAGATAAGAGTTATCAATTAATTTATATTTCATCGATACTGCCTAACATCAATCAAACTATTGTAGAAAATTTGGGAACGATAGATAAGTACGAAGAACCAAGGGATCGAACGAAACAAAAAGAATGAATCACCATTTTATCTTTTTTCAATCAATAACGATTAACGTCAATGAATGTATAATCAATCGAAATGAATTGCTTTATTCTTTCCTTGTCGTTCTAAGGAAAAGTGTAAAAAATATTCTGAGAAAAATAAAAACATAAGTATATGATTGAATTGTATCGCAAAAGTGAAAACAGTGACAGTGAAAAGAAAAATACGAAAATTACCGAGGTTCTCATTCTGCGAAGATTGGGCTACATGGTGAAATATTTTCGAATAGAATTCCTGAGTTGTGTACAAAAGTTTGTTTTTGAATTTTGACCTAGAAATTCTGGCCAAAACTGTTTCATGTAGCAACTTAGCGTTCACAATCTTTCTATATTTTCTTCTCTATCTTTAGCTTTGTCTTTCTTTCATTCTGCAATTATTAATTCCTACATATATTTTATTTAACCATAGTCGATGCTTTTTTATTATATTTTTACGGTTTTACGAGAATATCGATAATAAACTCTTCCTTAGAACTTGGATTATTACGAAAACTCTACTGTAGTAAATAACCACAACACAAAAAGTATAATTTTTTGCATTAATTATATGTTTATTGACGTTAATTAACGCTGGGATGGATTATGTTTTCAATGATTTTTCGACTCTTCCTGTTTTCTGCGATCCTGTTTCGACTCGATGTTATTCGAAATTTGTTAGGGGAAGTTTATGTTATAACCAAGCAAGTACTCTGAAAATTAATTCTATTCTTTTGATAACGATTGTAAAGAAATAGGTCTGATGAAAAACGTTACCATATTGCACCATTATTGAGAAACTTTATTTTAGTAATTTTTTTCCAGTAATTTTGCAATTTGCTAATGTGTACTCTTAGGCATTAATTTTTTTTTATAATTAATTCTATTCTTTTGATAACAATTGTAAAGAAGTAGGTCTGATGAAAAACGTTACTATATTGCACCATTATTGAGAAACTTTATTTTAGTTTTTTTCCAGTAATTTTGCAATTTACTAATGTGTTTTCTCTGGCACTAATTTTTTTTTTATAATCATGCTCAAGATTACTTGTAACGTCGCGAATAAAGAATGAAATTAATTTTTGCAATATTTGCTCGATATAATCGAACAATTTTCCTCTACCATATTTTCACGAATTTTTTTAACATGAATCGAGGATTTCGAATTTCCAATCGTTTCCATTCGATTCGATTCCTTTCCAACCAGGATGTTGTTTGCCAGAGTTAATACTGCGTCGCTTTAACGAAGTCAAATCGTCACATTTGTCTCATTCTTGCGCACTGCGGTCCAACGTGGACATTATCACGACGAGTAAGGACGCAAGTATAGTTATTCGCACGCCTGCCGGGTGACGTCTATGCGTACGAGTGTATGCACGCACGCGGCATATACGTACAATCGGCGGATTCTCTGTGTAACGTTGCGTAATACGTGTTACATTATTACATTACGGTGTATGTAAATAGGTGTAAAATATCTTTTGACGCCTGAATGCGAAGTAACTGCATGAGAAACGTGTTAGAAAACAAATATTTAAGTAAACTCCTTCGACCGAACCCACGAAATCCTTCTGTTTGTTGGTCTTATCCTTGACATATATATTTTATCGGTTAACAAGCGGTTTATCGTAGCAATTACCTCTAACGATCATTTACGAATACTATGGCTGCATCTTCATTTGTTATTCGTGAAATAGCTCGACGTAAACAGTTATTGGTATTTTTCAATTAGAGACGAATCTTCGGTTATCGCGCGAATGCCCAATGCTTCTGATAATTACAGTTACGAAGACGCAGACTATTCCGCTCTTGATTGTGAATGCCGCGTGCACGGTTCATGACTTTTACGAAGACGAATCATACGATATTGGGCCACGAATCAAAACTGGCTAAAGACATGATCTCGAGTTATCGAGAATAGAGCCGCGTATCTGATGAAAAACACCATGATAATTACCGGAGTATAAACAGATTGTACATTTTAATTTTATCGTAGTTACGAGCACGGTTTCTCTTTGATAAATTTGTTCATCCTACATAGCTTTCTTATAACATTAATTATAAATATGAATGTATATTTTCCTTTTTTTTTTTTAATAAAGAAAAACACACTGAAAACAATGAAAGTTTCGACATCGTCTGTTTTTACATTTTGTTTAATAAGAAATAATTAAAAGTTGAAATGCGTGATGTATGATACTATTAATTAGCGATGAGAATAGGTAAATATGTGTTGGCTATTATGAAAGTGGCCTAAATCGCGAAACCAACAAAATTGATATTTTCGATTTATGCCACACCGTCACATAAAAAATTTCATTGTTATAATATTAAAAATTATTTTATCATATACACTTATCTTTATTATTAACTACTTTTAATAAATTTATTATCTTACTATTTCACCAATTTGCGATGACAAACATTTTAAAGCTATTCAAGTATGCAATGCAGAAAGTGACTGAAAATAGATTAAAAAAGTAATTATAAAGTTACAATCGTAAAATAAATTCGTTATTATGTAAATTGTTTTCTCAATAAAATTCATTAGTTTTCGTTATCATAAATCATCAGTTAGAATATACTATTAATTTTGAAACTGGCATAAGTAATTCAACTATTCAAACAAATTATTCACAAGTTGCTAAACTTTTTAAAATATTTTTTAACCTGATCAAAATATAAATATTTAATTATCTTGAAACGGGAAATTTAGTTACGCCAGGTTTCATAATAACCGGCATATTTATTACAAAAACATTATCAAGTATTTATGGACTCCTCCATTTTATTATTTATAGATTTCGTGCTGCAGAAAATGTATCATATGCGCAGAAAATGAAATTAATAAATTAAGAATTAAATTTCCATTGATAATCAAGTTTATAAAATATTTTTCTCAACCCAAAATGTGTACTAAAACTGTCTGTAACATATGATCCAAACGATCGTCGAGTAAAATTGAGTATCATGTTAATAGCATAGTTTAGAACCGATAAGACTGGTAACGCGTGCTGGAAAATGATCGACGATAATGTAATTGTAGCATAATCCTGATACAATCTATAACCCGTTCACTGCCAGGTGACTGATCTTTAGAACGCTTATAATAAATGAATTTTAATATCTGTAATAATTTTCTAATAATGTCATTGGCATTAGGAATATTAGAAAATAAAAAATGCTCCATTTGTTACGCCATAAAAACTGGTGTATTTCCAAATTTTCAAATTTCTCGATAAATGTTTTTAAAATTAGACTTTTCAAATTTGGAAAACTTGGACTGTTCAACTTCAAATTCAACAGTCGCTTATGCTCATAATTTAGTACGATTAATGTCGAATGCAATTATCCAGTGATTCAGACTATTGAATAATATAAACAAAATTAACGGGTCTATTAGTCATGTGACTTTAGAATTCCATAAAATCGCATAATTCGTATACAACAGTCATTGATAAGTGCAATATCATTTATTACGTAACTGACGTCGCACGTACGATTAATGATAACACGTGTTACGTTCACGCGCTAATGTGTAAAGCATACAAGTTATTTTCATCGTATTATAGATAGGCAGGTATGGATGAACTTGAAATTACAATGCGAATATGTCTGCAATTGTATTTGACTCTTATAAAATGTGGCTTTATTATTAAAAGTCTGAAATGAGGTCTGTGAAATGTTGAACGGTAATATACATATATATATATATACTATACACATTAGTGTGTTATTTATCACTTGAAACGAAAAGAACGTAAAATGTGAGAAAGGAACAAAGTTATTTCTAAAGAAATATCTTCGTCATTCCGTGAAGACAATATTAATATGCAACAATATTATTAACTAATCGTGACTGACATCACGAATACAAAATTAATGCCACTCGAAGCTACTAGGAAGTGAAAAAACTATGGATAAAAATAAATCGTATGTTAGTGATCTGTAATGGTATGCATTGTTGGTATAAGAAATTAATTTACAAAACTACTTTGTTTTTAATGAATCCTAACCGGTTATACATAACGTTCGCTTCGATTTTTTTAACATTATATGTTTAAATAAAAGTGCATTTATTCTTGTTCAACTAGTTGATTTATAATCTTATCAAAAATATTACGTAAAATAATAACGAGCAACTTAATTTTTTCTCATCGCGCTTTATAATTATTTACATATATTTAGCGGCTGCAGCTCAATGGATTTTCACACGAGGCAATCAAAAAATTGACAGAGCACTCTGATTGGTTAATTAGCAAGTCAGGCGACGTATAACGTGTTTTGATTGGTCCGTACAAAGCGTGCGGTGTATCCAAGGAGCACGCGTTACCAACCGATGTATACTGAACGCAGCTCTAATACAATCATAAGTGGACAACATTTATCGCGTTACCTTTCGAATGATTCCTAATCCAGAAAAGAAACGTAAAACCACCATTTGAAGAAAACTATACAACTCACCGGTGACGAATCCTCCGCGGCGGAGTAGCACGCTCCTCACTGAGGTTAGGTTCGTCTTTCCGTTCGTGTTCTGTCATTCGATATGCTTTTCCTCACAATTCAACGAGAAAAAATATCACACGGCACTGGTTATGCCCAATTATTGTTCGTAAACGATCGAACGTAGTCGATCACAACGTAGAAACTTATTGTCACCTTTTATACATAGATTTTTTTACTTCCGCTAAGGCAGATGCACCATGGCGCAACATGAAGAATTCATATACCGACAGCACACCACCTTCGAGTTTCGCTGTTGGTCCTGTACGGTGGAGGTTCTTTATCGATAGGTAGAACTGTTTCAGTAACGCTCTTTGAACCTAGAGGTCAGGGTCTCACAGGTACTGTTAGTTTCAAACGAATTTCCCTAATTTTATGGACGGGACTGTATTTGATACAAATTCAATTATAGGCGTCGTTAAGAAAGTACGGGTTGTTATTATTCTATTCGAAATAATTTATCAAGTTAGCCGAAGAATTGTAGTAAGATTATCGATGCAACTAATTTTTAATATTTGATTGTCACATAAAATATTTTTAATTTTCTAAGATAATTTCAAATATTTTTAGTCTATCGTGGCTTAATTTTCGTTAATTAACCTTTGGTCGGGCGTTACTTGAAAAATTGACTTGAAAAGACGTGCTACGATCACATAGACGTTGCATTATTTAAAAAAGACACAATGAATTATACAAGTTACGAATTATGAACAGTTTACAAATGATACTTTTTGAAGAATTCACTTGTTGCCACAAATATACTCGAAGAATGAATGCAGTAATGCTTGGAATACAGTAGATTTCTCGTTTTTATTAAAATTGCTTATCATTAGATACAAACACAACTGATAGGAGTTGTATTGATTTTTCTCATTAAAAGAACTACTTATATCACAGATTAAAGGTACGTAATTTTATATGAAAGATACTAACAAAAGTTTCGTTATTAATAGTATTGAAAGATAGTATATCAGATTATATAATTTAAAGATAAACATTTACGTATTTATGTGCATAGGTTTATTTTGTTTGTACCTTGCAGCAGAAACCAATTTCTAGTGACTTAGAAAAGTTCACGAAAATTATACTATAATCAAAAAGTAATGTACGATAATCAGATCGTATTAGACAATGATTATAAATCATGTCAAGTGCTTGCTATTGCTTTAACAAATGTAGTTAAACATAGTTTGAATCTCGAATTCAAGGAAAGCTGTTTCTCTATGTTAAGAATAGATAATTCGCATCAAGTAAAAACTGTTCTAATGGTTAAACTGTTACCATTAATACATAAAAATGATACTTCTTCTAATAATAGTTAAATAGTTTATAAAACGTATATTTAATTAATGGAAATTTCATTCATGCTTGAAAGGTTACAGAAATAACGACAGAATATGAAACACCGATAAAACTATTAACTGCGATGTACATAACATGTTTTTATTTTCAAGCGATAACAGTTGTTCTTTTGACATCGCCATTGAAATTCAACAGTTTTTTTTAGAAACGACTTAATCGTCTCTGATACCGATCAAATAAAACTTTTTCTATGTGTATTCTGTCACCAAAATTTCGCATTATCGATCGATGTAATATTGTATTACTTTTAAAAAATATAACAAAGAAGAACGCAATTAAACTTGTAAAGTTCGAATATTCCCGCTCAGCGTTAGCGTAACCGGCAGAATTCTGCGCAAGCGTAGTTGCGCATAAGATGCGTAGTATTCGGTCTTGTACCAGTCAAGACGTGAGGGTCAGGTTAGGCAGGTCGGGCTGACAACGCATCGAAAAGAGCGTACCGTTGTGGCTCATAAATGAAGGTTAACTTTGTCGCGAATCCAGCGAAAACCGTGAACAAGAACGAGGGCGATGCTTCGGGCGAACTGTCAACAAGATCTCCGTATTGGTTTAGAAGTATCGCGGTGAATTAGCCAGGGACAAACATGGATCGTGTTCCGGCAGACGTGTGTTTTTCTTCGTGGTGAACCTCTCTCTGTCTCACCGGGACAGGGATCCTCAACCTCGGGAGTGGTGATATTCACGCAAGTACGTAACACAGACAAGCATTATAAAACGCGGCGCATACACGCGACTCAACGTGTATTAATATACGCAACGGCAAAGGGAAGAGGAGCTTCCCGCTTGTTAGTATGCAAGTGCCGTTTCGGTGCCCCTTACGTGGCCTTATTTGCACTCACGTCCAATCGGCGCGCGAAACGAATCAAAATGACCGCTCTACTTTTCGCCAGATTTTTTGGAATATAACGCCCGGCCCGTGTAAGTATCGTCTAATCCCCGAGCATCCCTACAAATATCGTGTCTCTCTGTGTTTCTTTTTCTCTCGTTTGTCCGTGCGTGCGTGCATGCGTGCGCGTGTAACGGTGCAATAAATGGCGGAGGATGTAAAAGGGCTTTCTGAGTCTACGATGTGCCAGGAGAGAATTATCGGTATTGTCGTTCCCCTGACATAACCGCCGTTACTTCTCTCGTTCGTAGTTTCAGGTGAGAGTCGATATTCCAGTTGTCCGTTACTTCTTCTTCCATGCACGTACGATATTTTCTCATGCGACACTATCAACCAAACGTACGATGTAAATACATCTCGGTATTTTATTTATTTAAACCATTGACGTCGTGCAATTTTGTACACCAAAGTTCATTGCACCTAACCCTGTATTGCACGGTACTGCATGGAAGGAATCGTCGGGAAGCTTCAACGTCCTTTAACGGACTTTATAACCTCAAAATTCATGAATTCCGTTGTAGTAAATATTACTTGCTGCGAACGTTTCCGGTAACCAGTAACAGTGCAGTAATTCAATTTATATCGTACAAAGGAATGTTTGTTTTTACACTTTGCCATAAATCAGTAAATATCCGTGCATAATGAAGTATGTTTATAATTTCATACTTTCTTAATCGTTACGCATACAAGATAACAAAATTTGAACAAAAATAGGTTTCTACTAAAAGTATATTATAATCTTCACAGGCCTCGATCAAAACTGGAAACAAAAAAGAGAGTGTGTTGACAAAGAGTAAATAATAGTGATTTACCGTGTGTAAATGTAAAAAGGAGAGAATTCAGTTACGATGTAAGGATTGAAGTGCGTGTAACGCGATAAGGGCTTCTCGTGTGCACGATGCTTAATTAAGTTCTCATTGTATACGTTGCATAACCGGAATAGAGAAAAACAATCCGTGCGGATTGTAATTAAGCAATGGATGCGGTTACGCGCGTTGGAACATCACAGCGAGAATAACAATACTCAAAGGCGGGAATTCGTGAAAGAAAAAGGTTAACCCCCGCAGCATTCGCATTCCAGTTGCACTACGCGAAGTAAGATAGTGACCTTGGCATAGTAAAGTTATCATCTCCTTATTGAAAAACCCCACCTTGATTCATCTCTATCAAGCTCGTCGAGTTTTATTAAGTCAATGAGTTCGCAAAATTATTTAGCCAGATAGCTTGGCTCGCTCGCCGGATTATGCGCATCTTATCCGTCGCGTCATTGTAAACTAGAGCTGCGCGGAGTGTTTAATATTCGTGTACTTGAAACTTGAGCTGACCAACTTGGTTCTATGACGAATAATACTGCGTTATAAACTACGAAGTTGATAATTTTTTCATATTTTGAATTCTTGATAAATCAATTACAAATAGTTTTGCGTCTTATTTTTCTGGACGCAAGAACGAATTTTATTAGAAAATTAACTTTTCCTTTAAATAACTAATAGCCTATCAGGGTTTTGTGTTTTTCTTATTATTTCTTTATGTACTAACATTATTATTGTGAAAGTGTTAAAATCTAAATTGTATACTTGGAAGAAACAAATGACCGTCACTTTCGTGTCATTGTTTATTTACAGCTACCTATTTGAACAAAATTATTTCATAATATGGAAATATAAATCGATGTAGCATGAAACAAATAAAAATTTTTATTTTGTTTACTTATTTTCATTTAAGATTAACCAGGCATTTAATTTCATTTATTACTTATAATATTACTCTTATTATTTATTCCTATTTCATAATCTTTGTATCACGTTTTTTGTCCTTGACTTATATAATAATATTTGAAACTTTAACATTTCAGTTTTAAATGAATTCAGGCTGTGTTTGTTATTATATTAACAGTAATATGATTAATTGCGGCATATTACTCTATGCACAAGTACATATGACAATATGAATACTAGTTTGGCCCATTTCGCCACAATTGTTAACAAGTTTTTCATTTTACATTTTGTTTCTGTAAGTTCTAATTTCACATCTCTTTATTATACAGGGTGTTCGGCTACCTCTGGGAAAAATTTTAATAAGCAATTGTAGAGACCAAAATAAGACGAAAATCAAGAATATCAATTTGTTGATTGAGGCTTCGTTAAAATGTTATTAATAAAATTATTAACGAAATTTGTCTACCTACACGAATTTTTTTCTCACAAGCGCGTAGGATTTTGGGGGTATGTCTATTTACCAAAAATATTTGCAATTGATCGCTGCAACTAAAAAAAATTTTTCGAAGACGATTCGATATTCTTTTTTTGTCACCCAAAACTTTCAACACATACTCGAATTTTTTTCTCGAAACTGCGTAGGATTTTGGGGATATGTCTATTCACCAAAAATGCTTGTAATTGACCCCTGCAACTGAAAATATTTTTTCCAGAACGATTTGAAATTTTTCAATTTCGACGACAAAATTTCTGTTCAGTATGGAACTTTAAACGTTAATAAGTTTTTAAGGAAGCTTGTATCAAAAAATTGGTGTTCTTGATTTTCGTCTTATTTTAGCCTCTAGAATCTCACATTAAAATTTTTCCCAGGGGTGGCCGAACACTCTTTATTTATTGTGTTATGAAACTATTGAATTATGAAGCTTGAAAACCATTAATATCTTAATATTATTTTCTAATAAAATTTATTCTTGCGACCAGAAAAGTAAGGCACAAAACTATTTATAATAACGCGAATTTGTATTTATATTTTTTTTATATCGTCTAAACCTGTTATTGATAATAACACGATAAATAATAAGAATAGATGTTACTTTTTTATTTAACGTTTAAGCGTCGGTAATTCGAGTTTATGTGAACCGATTCAGTGTTTCTTGTTCAGTTTGTCGGGCAGATGAATTTTTCGATGGTTCTTGTAATCCCGAATGAAATGTGAAAAACATGTTACCCGACGATTTTTTGTTCAAGCGCCGTTTTAATTAACTCGATCTAATAAGTTTCACGCGCGAATATGTAAGATCGCGACGTACGACAGCGGATGTGGCATAGACTTTTTACTTGTGGCTTTGTTACACTTTTATTTTCGTCGTTCCGCAACCGTATTACTGTTGCACGCTCTCTGCCGAAGTAAAAACAAAAAGAAAAACAAGAAAAAAAAAAAGAACGAAGAAGAAACGACTGTCGGTTTCACTCATGAATGTGCAACCGGATGTTCCCTTTACCATGAAAAACATTTCTCCGTGAAAGAACAGAACGTTTGTTAATTGGTCATTGAATAAAAAGACTCGGCCCGGTTTCGAAGCTTGGTAAACATTTCGTTTCAAAGTAAACTAGTGCTTTTCAATTAGTATCATTTTCTTTTAAATGAAATTTAATCGATGAAAAACTTTTTTATTCCCCAATTATCAAAAAGTCAAAGAAAAATATTGTCTATATTGTTCATGCACATTAGGTAACGCTTGACTTATGAAAATAATTGAACACTGTAAATACGTTTAAGGATTATTTCATTTCATTTTTGTTGCAAACGTTTATAATAATCTCCATTCAGAAGTTCTTGTACCACTGTCCATTTGTTTAATACTTATGCAGTGTCACCAATTTTAAGTTTTTTTTCGCCCAAAAGATTTTAAAATGTCGTTGGAATATATATAAATAAACTTTGTAAATTTGACTGCAAAAGGTCTTATAGTTTATTTACAAAAAATTCCCTCAAAAAGCATAAAAAAAACACGTTTTACTTATATTTTTTAAATATACGACGATAGATACACTATTTATATGTTTACTATCATTTATACAAAATTAAAAGAATCTAATAGGTATTCATAGATTTGAAAATATAGATGATAGTAATATTTCAGTCAGTAATTCTATCTATCATCTATGTACATACTGGGTGTTCAACCACCCCTGGGAAAAATTTTTATGGGGGATTCTAGAGGCCGAAATAAGATGAAAATCAAGAATACCAATTTGTTGATGGAGGCTTTGCTAAAAAGTTATTAACAATTCAATTCAAAAATTTCAAATCGTTCTGGAAAAATTATTTTCGGTTGCGGGGGTCAATTACAATCATTTTTGGTGAATAGACATATCCCCGAAATCTTGCGCATGTTCGAGAAAAAAATTCAGTATGGGCGGAACTTTAAACGTTAATAACTTTTTAACAAAGCCTCTATCAACAAATTGGCATTCTTGATTTTCGTCTCATTTTGGCCTCTAGAATCTGCCATTAAAATTTTTCTCAGAGGTGGCCGAGCACCCTGTATGTAGCAATATGGAAATGAAATGAAAGGGGTAAAAATAAACCTGTATCTAAAAATGTTTTTATACGTTGTAGAGACAGTATTTTAATTCCGTGAATTGTTATATAAGTATTAAGGAAATCGATGTTTGTAAATTTATGGGGACGAGTTTCTAAACAATTACAGTTACTGTCTGCAAAGGATTAAATGATACATATACATGCGTTTGAAATCATTTTCATTTGAAATTAATGGAAATCTTAATAGATACGGGGTATTGCCAAGACGATGGAAAAGAGTAGTAAAGGCGGATTAAATTTTTTTCTGCAGTTTGAGTTTTACTTTCAAGTTTGCTATCTTAATTGGTTTGGAAAGTTAGAAATTATAAAAATTAATGTTAATTGTATAACACTTCCTCTAGGTAGTGTAATTATATACTGATGTGAATATTATAGTTATTTTTATTGCACCATACAATACGCTTTTTTTCTGTTGGTTGGAAAGATTTCACTTTTATTATATTTCTAATCAAAACTATTTTCTGAGACTGTTGTA